TGTAAAGTGATTACGTTTCGAATTGTGTCCACATTATCATTATTATTATTACTCTTATTATTATTATTATCCTTATCTCCGCTTAATCCATTTCCAGTCTAGTTGACCTTTTATTTTTATATATAAATGTTCTTAACAAGTATTTAATGTGTGATCAGATTGTTCGACTTTGTACTAAGCTAATATATCATCACATAGTTCTGATAATCTTCGTCTTCTTATTATACACTATCGAAATTTATCAAAGGGACTAATTGCTTCCAGGTTTTCAGTTGTGCTCTAACATCAATCGGTTCATGATCGTGATAAAAAAAAAAATAAAAACAATGTCCACAACTCCTAAACTGTTAAAATTTATTATCGAATAAACGATTGTTAATTAGAGGTTAAGTGTTTGTGCTTAAAAGATCGATAAGTTTTAGGTTCGCTAATGAATGAGCATTGATGAATAGTTTCATATTAGAATGAAACAGACGTTTAGTGCTTTCAAATTTTCTATAGTAGTTTAGCTTTCAATTAACTGGTGATTTTAACTATTGAGATGATCAATTAATTCAATAGATATCATGATGTATAAAGAAGGAATTTCTCTACTGGGACATTGTAAATATATACGCACACATACACACACATACTCGAGTGTCTGGCATAACGTTGTGTATTACAGATTGATATAAGCTAATAGAATTAATGATATATCAGAAGTTTTGCACGGAAACACTAAGTTGGTCAACAAGTGAAGTTGATCAGATTATCATATATAATGAGATTAAGAATAATAAATCTTGGAATTGGTTACGAAATTCATTTAACCATTTAGTTAAATAGTATTTTAGCATTTTAGCTGATGTTAGCCCATAATGAAAACCATAAAACTAATTCCTAATGTTAATCCATCAACTATGAACATTTTCATGGTTACTACTTTTTGTCTCACTCAAACTTACTTACTTACTTACGCCTGTTACTCCTCGTGAAGGAGCATAGGCCGCTCACCAGCATTCTCCATCCAACCCTGTCCTGGGCAATCCTTTCTAGCTCCGTCCAGTTGTAATTCATCGTTTTCATATCTGCTTTTATTATCCGACGCAATGTGTTCTTTGGCCTTCCTCTTTTTCGCTTCCCTTCAAAATTCCAAGTTAGGGCTTGCCTCGTCTCAATTAAAGATTGTCTATAAATTGTAGTCTTACTATGAAGTCATAAATATTGTGTCTAGAATAGACAGATTTTGGTGGAGTTTTGTTCTCTGAGCTGGATGGTTTGGTCGTGACACAAGTGTAAGATATAGACCCCCAATCAACTGCCCATTAGGATGGAGAATAGCTGAGCAAAGTGGAAGAAAAATGGTACACCTCATAATAACGGATGCACACTACAGGATTCGCAAATACCAACACGTCATAGAGGACCAAAAGATAAAGCTACAAAGGATGCTCACATCAGTACATTTGGAAATCGTGACACGACCAAACCATCCAGCTCAGAGAACAAAACTCCACCAAAATCAACCACCTGAGCTACAAATCTTCTCCACCATCTCAGAATAGACAGGTATATTGTTATTTTGACTAATATCAAAAGTCGCATAATGGTAGCGTCTTCAGCTAGGAAATTAAGTGATATGAAATAGAATTGATCAAGGAAAAACAAATCCTTCATTATTACAAGGATATCTTGATGATAAGTACCAAATTACATTGGATCTAGGTCTAGAGATTTTGATCAGCTAACTCATATATATATATATATATATATATATATATATATATATATATATATATATATATATATATATATATATATATATATCAAAAGGGGTTTTTGTGGATATTACAGCCATTTCAATGGTTGAGATCATGAGTCGATTGAATTTAGACCATGATGCTTCCAAGTTATTCATAGTGATCTGGCTTTTATTGTTTCATGATTTCAACTATTGAAAGTTTCAATGAGAACAATGAACACTACAAAAGTCATATTAGGCTTTAACAAACGTTAACCATTTTTATCCCATTAAAAATGATCAAATATCTATGATTTTAGAGTGTTTTGTTGTTGTTGTTGATCGCTTAATCAATCTACCTGATCAGTGATGAAACAACTAAAGAAAGATGTAATTAAGAGGTAATTGATGAGTATAACATGAAACATAATATCTTGATTACAATTAGGGTTAGATTGAATATTTAAAATAATAAATAATAAACATGATGATTATTATCAAAATGGGTTTTGTGGAGATTTTTTAGAAATTTCACTGGTTGAAATCATGAATCAATTGAATGTGCACTGCTGAGGAGTCCTATACTAGGACGAAACGGCCGTCTAGTACTTCCAGGTTTTCCATGGTGGTCTAGCTTCGATTGACTCATGATTTCAACCAGTAAAACATAATAATACAAAGATAACAAACCTGATGTAACTATAGGATTTTCACATTGCAACCATGTTACTACCAATCTCATAGTTTATTGTGAAAGCTAATAGGAAATAGAATAAGAACAATTTAACTTTAAATGTAATCTATTACTAAATGTTCAAATAATCATTCGATTCATATAAAAGTATTCTAATCATTAAGAGAAATACACAAACATAATGACCAGTATTGTATGTCTTCTATGAAATGAATAAAACAAAAATTATGAATCATACTTATATAATAGGATAATAATATTCTTCAATTGGAAGATTATATACAATATGAATAGTCTATAGACATATCAGACTATATTCACATAGTGAACGTTTTAGTAATAACAGTTTGATTGGTTAGTTACTGAATAGAATTAACCCCAACTTTATGGGAATAAAAGAACAATGAGATTACGATTATTTAGATCAATGACGGTTTGTAAAGTTGAAAAACAAACAAACAGAAAAGAGAATGTTTTAAAGAGGAAATGACTTTTACATAATAAAACAGTTCATAGTTAGTATTATTTAACAATGTGTAAGCTTTTATAGTTAAAAACCATTATCATACATATATTATTGAGATCATGAACCAATTGATGGTAGACCACTATTGAATACCTGAAAGCACTGAACGGCAGTTGCGTCCTATTGTCAACAGTGCGCATCTACGATCCCGCTCGCGGGATTCAGACCCAGGGCTTTCAGTCTCATGCGCGAACAGTCAACCTCTAAACCACTAAGCTAACATTCAATGGTGTTAATTTCTAATATCAACCAATCCACGAAATTGCGCAACCATCTTCCATTGTACTGAGGTAGATAACTGTTTATGCCTGACATGGATTAGCTCCACTGATCATGGCTTCTCACTAGAACTCCGAGAATTCCCTCATGAATCTATTCACTAGTCAGTATATGATCTCAAACAAAAAAAGTAATAATCTCCACAACCTCACACTGATAATTATCATATACGTTAAATAAGTCAACAGTCATACCTTTTGTAAACAATTAAAAATCTTTTTGAATTTCATAGCTTACATCAAAAATCAGTCCTAGGTACGAAACCATTGGAATCTAGTAAGCACTAGACAGTAAATATTTTCAACCACAATTTGAAGTTAAAAATATAAACCATTGAACGTCAACTCATTAGTTTGAAGGTTAAGTGTTCTAGAAGTTACCTAAATATCCTGGATCCGATACTTGACAATTCCGTGTGTATATACCAGCTGGAAAAACCATCGTAGAATGAGATATATTTCCCAGTGTTTCCTAGTTTTTAATGATTGTTTAACAAAGATCATTTTTTGATATGTACTCGTGAAAATTAGATCATTCACGGGTACTTCATACATTAATACTTACTTACTTACGCCTTTTACTCCTAGTGAAGCATAGGCCGTCGACCAGCATTCTCCAACCCATTCTGTCATGGGCTTCCCTTTCTAGTTCTATCTAATTTTTGTCCATTCTTCTCATGTCTGTCTCCATTTCTCGATGTAATGTGTTATTTAGTCTTTTTCTTTTATTTTGACCCTGAGGATTCCAAGTGAATGCCTTGTGATGCAGTTGGGTGCTTTCCTCAATGTGTATCCGATTCATTTCCTGATTTCTTCCTCCGCTCGAATCTGATTTGTTCTCTCCCATAGTAGGTTGTTGCCGATAGTGTCTTGCCAACGGATCCGAAGTATTTTGCCTAGACAAATGTTAGTAAACAATTGTATCTTCTGGATGATGACTTTCGTAGTTCTCCAGGTTTCCGCCCCATACAGTAGAACTGTTTTGGCATTTGTATTGAAAATTCTGACTTTGGTGTTGATTGACAATTGTTTTGAGTTACAGATGTTCTTCAGTTGTTAATATGCTGCTCTTGCTTTGCTAATCTGCGCCTTCACATCTGCATCAGATCCACCGTGTTCATCAAATCTTCTCCGTCAATTGTGATTTGATTGGTGCATGCTGTTCTGTATCGAAGAATTTTACTTTTCCCTATGTATATGTTGATACCTACTGCTGTTGAGGCTACTGCTTTACTTGTCATCTTCTCGTGCATTTGTTGTTGCGTGTGCGATAGAAGAGTCAGATCATCTGAAAAGTTTAGATCGTCCAGCTGCATCCTAGCCCTCCACTGTATCCCATGATTCCCCTCAGATGTTGACGTCTTCATAATCCAGTCGATCATCAGGAGTAAGAGAATGGTTGAGAGTAGGCAACCTTACCTTACACCGGTGTTCACAAGTCTGTGAGCTGTCCTCTATGCACGATTTTGCAGTTTAATCCATCATATGAATTCCAAATGACGTTGACTATTTTATTGGGTACGCCGTTGTGTCGAAGAAGCTTCCATAGTATTGTCCTATCCATGCTATCATATACTCTCTCTTGATTGATAAAGTTACTATAGAGTGATGAATTTCATTCAATTGATTGTTCTGTAGTGTTTTATACATTAATAATAGTAATATAATAGTATTATTTGTTGGACATCATACTCTTGTTAATAATCTGATTATTTGCATATTTTCATTACTTTTATATTATAGAATCATTCTGAACAAGTAAAATTCATAAGAATAATGATGATTTGGAATAAATTTATTTGGATTAAAATGATTTTGGTTTATGCAATCTATTTCCAGATTTCTATGTATCAAGTAAAATCCGATAGCACAACAGTAGCAGGTAATCTCCGATTTCTCCTGATATAATAAAGTAGTGAATGAAATAAATTATAGTAATTACTTTATATTCAATTTGATGATAAGGTACTTTCATTGAAATGATTCAGTAATTCAACATGTTGTATTCAAAACCAGTTCCAACATATAACTCTTGAAGTTTTTGGTAAGAAGTCATGACAAGTGGAGTTAAATCTGTGTTAAATGTGAGAAAGCTATCCATCACATGTCATGGAAGAAAGGTTGCACAATATCACGAATTGATTTCAGTTAAACATTGTTACCGTCAGATGTTGGCTTAATGGTCAAAAGGTTAAGGATTCACTGACACGATTGAGGGTTTAAATTTCGCATCCTTCATCCATGACCTCACTTCTTCAAGTTTCTCAATAGTTGTTTAGCCTAGATCAGATCATGATTTGAACTGTGAATATACCAACTTTACAAGTTGTTGCTTAACACCGTCGATTGTTGTTATCACATGGATATCGTGATAGTTGGAACTCTTAAAACTATCTTAAGAACGGTTGTAGTTTATATTTTTATGATAAAATTATTAAACTGATAAACTGTTTTACTTTCATATTCTCCTTGTTGTAAGCTTGTGTTGGACCCATTAACTATTAATATACGTTTTTCCAATTCTTATGTTTCATCTTCTACTTGATCTATTTCCTACCACTTTTAACTTCTTTTTGTATAAACTACATAAAAGCCATCATGTAATACATATATATTCATAAGTTAATGATTTGATGGAATATAATGATTGAAGCCTGCCTGTTACTGTGTTCTTTTGTCCGATTGAGAAAGGGGAGAACAAATCATATGTTTAGCATACCAATAGAAATGTAATTTAACTTGTCATTGCCAACGGTTAACTAGAGTCAGTCAGATGTGTAGTTTACACTAATGAATAGAATATATTTGGTACCTTGAGTCAAAATTTTTATATTATAATCAACAAATGTATTCTTCGGAATAAGAATCAAGTTAGTTTGCTGTAATATGCTCAAGAATACTACTCGTTGCTATGAAACGCTACCATATTTAAACCCGAAGAAGTCATCGACGTTATTATACACTTACCGGAAAATAACGTTCACAAATAGGAGTATAAAAATGTGAGTATTAACTTACTGGAATTAGGATTTTGGTTAAGAAAGAACTCATGGCAAGAACATTCCGAATGAAGGGATATGTGAATATTCGCATCCGCAGAGTCACATCTTATTAGTTGTCATTCCCCAACGCTATTATTTTGAAGATCAGTTTACTTCTATGATGGCTTATCTTCAATTGACACATGAATTCAACTATTAAATTACTAAATTCTCCAGAAAACTCCCCTTTCTGATTAAAATTATAATATCCTCACTAGTGACTGTCCCCAAGAGGTATTTACTGGAGTTAAATTGAGAAGCCGTGATCAGTGGATTTCATCCGTGTCTGTTGTGAAATAATAACTCACTGAAATCAATGGTGGGCGGTGGCGCAATTTTGTGAATTGATTGAAGTTAGACATTGACATCGTTGGTTGACTGTTGAGTGGTTTAGAGTTTCAGCCTTCGCTGCGTGAGACCAATAGATACTGGGTTCGAATATGATTGGGCGCGATCGTGGATGTGCATTGCTTAGGGGTCCCATGCTAGGACGAAACGGCTGTCCAGTGCTTTCAAGTTATCCATGGTGGTCTAGCTTCAATTGACTCATGAATCCAATTATTGAATATATATATGTTGTGTGCTCAAACTGTTCAACTGATTCTCTTATCATATAAGATGAAGATTTTGGATTTACTGTTAATGAAATTTCAAAGTCAATATGGTTTAAATTATCTATCCAGAATATAGAACACAAATATTCCAGTCTATAAAATTACCTCCAACCTACTTCAATGGGTTGCGAAGTAATGTTGTATTTTATTTTATACTACTTTTCAAATTTGTCAGTAGTCATACTATTGATTATTTATTTTTGCCTGTTTCGTCTTTTCAACATATTCTCGAACTACCAGGTTCATCATTTCTAGTAAAAGCTGTCATATATACAGATCTTAATGGAACATACTACCCATGGAAATCGGAATTACAAGATGTTCTTTCAACTGATTACACGACATTGGCTAGCAGTGTCTGCAATCTCGTAAGTTTAATTCATTATATTTCTAAACAGGAAATTAAAACGTTTTTACTTCATAAATTTTAGTTTGGATGAAGCATTCAGTGCCTTGAACCGACCAATTAAGATTCAGTTTGGATGTTGTATTGTTCATAATCACTGAGCATATCGTATTAAAATATTAGATAATGACAAATTAAATACATTTACATAGAATCTGGTGTTAATTTTATTATTTAAATGAACTTTTTTAGAAACTAATCAGATGGTGTTCTGCAACCATAAATGTCCACATTCTTAGTTAAGGAGAAATGAATTGCACGTCCAAACAAGAGATTTCAAAAAATTTGATAAAATATTTCGGCAAATGCGTCTACCTCCAATCTAATTATGTCATAACATTAAGGTATATTTATTTGTCACTATCAGTATGCGGTTATGGAGATTGTTTAGTTTAATTGAAATTACAAACTAGTCTACGTTAGATAACGACGGTCGTTTCATCCGACATTGAGACCTTTCATGAACACTTCAAACAACACCATAGCCGGGAATCTAGACCACGGCCTTTCGTCTCTCACGCAAGCACTTAGCCTATAGACCACTGATCAGAGATCTAATAGTTGCCCAACTTATATAATTTCATTATTTCAATGAAATCTAACGATCTCTGAAACTTCATGCTGATAGTTATCATATGCTTACTAGTGACTGTCTTCGAGAGGAAATTTCCGTAGTTCTACTACAAACTCTATCATTTCTAGATCTCGTTATTCTACAATTCTAGTCTTTAAATTATCAGATAGCTGGTGTATTTTGATAGTTATGCGAGTAATAGTGATAAGGTAGAAATTGAACTCAATGTACGTAAAGTGAAAGCCAGAGTAGCCTATATCAATCATTGTTATCTGTTACATAATCATTAATTTAATTCAACTGTTGAAGGTTAGTTTATAAAAGGCATAAATGCAAGCACTACTAATCAATGTTTATAGATTACAATTAATTGGCTCATACAGACTTCTAATTGTAGTTACATAAATCCTCAATATTGGCCAATTACAAATTACAATAAAAAAAACCTTCTTTCTTTTCACTGGTTTAAACATTTCCATATAAATGTGATTGTTTCACTCTATTTACTTTTTGTTTATATATAGAATGATAAGTTACTTAGTTATTGTTGAGTACATTTATTGTTACTTATTATTTTGTAGACTATTGAAAGTTTGTATCTTGGCGATCCAATAATCTCGAAAGATGCACGATGTTTCAATATTGTTTTCGTTCCAGTTAACAATAGTAATGAACAAGTAGGTACAACACAGAGTGGAATTGTTAATGTAAACATTACTGGTGTTCAAGCCAATATAAATATAGAATTGGTTTCTATTAATGCTTCATTAATTAATGAATCTATATTCTATAACATATTAGTCAATGGCTATAATCAACTGAACAAAACATTGAATATATTTGTTATGGATATCGAGATATATCGTAAGTGAAACTAGTTTTTCTGATCATACTTGTAAACTGTTATGTATTCTATAATGAATAAAGTTCCCATGTTGTTATTTTTCTTGTATCTTCCCATTGTTATTTAGGACTGTAATTGATCAATCACATGTTGGCATAGGTGCATCATGTACGGAATGCCTCGATGTAGACATACAAACCTTAGACTAAGATGCTTACAAACGCATCAAAACAGTAATATACGTAAAAAAGTTCCAGGATTTTGAAGACATGGATACTATTAAAACGTAGTAAAGATTGAAACCATTGAAACAGAATATTTGATCAATAAACTTCAAAACGCTCGTGTTGTGTACTTGAACACCAACACCAACACCAACACCAACACAAACACAAACACAAACACAAACACGAACATCTCCACTCACTTGCATGTGAACACGTGTTCTCACTGAAATCCAATGTATCATGAGACGAATGACGAACGAGTGGTTGACTGAACAAATGTATGCAGTGAGAGACGTGTTCCTTACAATCTGATGTGGTGTGATGCTGCGACACGTGTTGTGTGCATGCACAATTGGAAGGGGATGTCAGTTCAGTGTGTGTTTGTGTGATTGTGTGTGTGATTTCGAGTGTTTTTCAAAATGTGAGTGTTCTTAAGATGACCAGTGGGATGGAAATGTGTGCACCTCCTGCATTTGCTCACACAATATTGACCACATGTTCAATGTGAACTGTTTGTTTGCATACACACATTAGGTATCGCATCGGATCACACAACCGAGTCATCATCCAGTTCGCAAAGCACTACGCACATTCCGTCCGAAGTGTCCAGTCAACCACCTGGATCCACAACATCATCTACTCCAACTGAACCACACACCAATTCATCAGTCGTCACTAGTGAGTTCAATCGATAATTTGTTGCATTCCATGATGTATTTGTGCTGTGATTTCACACTTGTGTAATTAATGCTCATCATTCATTGCACTTGTAGATTTGGTCTGTTGAGAATTTGTGTACAAGTGTGCATGCATTGTGCGTGATTGTCCGTGTGTGCAACATGCTTGATTTAGACTGTGAGAGAGATAGAGTGTGAATATTTTGACAATTTGTGGGTAGATTTTGGTTGGGTAGAGTGAGTGAGACAGTGGCAATCAGTCGGACGATATGCGTTGTGTATTCAAGTGTATTGGTCGGTGGTTGAACAGTGGTCGATCAAGTGAGATGTGGAGGTGTTAATGGTGAGTTCACCAGTCTGCGTCATATCAACAATATGACCTGTCAACACTGACCTCATTCACTTGGTCACATCGTGCCGAGACAATTTGAGTACACTCGTGTTGTGTACTTGAACACCAACACGAACACCAACACAAACACAAACACAAACACGAACATCTCCACTCACTTGCATGTGAACACGTGTTCTCACTGAAATCCAATGTATCATGAGACGAATGACGAACGAGTGGTTGACTGAACAAATGTATGCAGTGAGAGACGTGTTCCTTACAATCTGATGTGGTGTGATGCTGCGACACGTGTTGTGTGCATGTACAATTGGAAGAGGATGTCAGTTCAGTGTGTGTTTGTGTTTTTTTTGTGTGTGTGTTTGAGAGAGTGTGTGATTTCGAGTGTTTTTCAAAATGTGAGTGTTCTTAAGATGACCAGTGGGATGGAAATGTGTGCACCTCCTGCATTTGCTCACACAATATTGACCACATGTTCAATGTGAACTGTTTGTTTGCATACACACATTAGGTATCGCATCGGATCACACAACCGAGTCATCATCCAGTTCGCAAAGCACTACGCACATTCCGTCCGAAGTGTCCAGTCAACCACCTGGATCCACAACATCATCTACTCCAACTGAACCACACACCAATTCATCAGTCGTCACTAGTGAGTTCAATCGATAATTTGTTGCATTCCATGATGTATTTGTGCTGTGATTTCACACTTGTGTAATTAATGCTCATCATTCATTGCACTTGTAGATTTGGTCTGTTGAGAATTTGTGTACAAGTGTGCATGCATTGTGCGTGATTGTCCGTGTGTGCAACATGCTTGATTTAGACTGTGAGAGAGATAGAGTGTGAATATTTTGACAATTTGTGGGTAGATTTTGGTTGGGTAGAGTGAGTGAGACAGTGGCAATCAGTCGGACGATATGCGTTGTGTATTCAAGTGTATTGGTCGGTGGTTGAACAGTGGTCGATCAAGTGAGATGTGGAGGTGTTAATGGTGAGTTCACCAGTCTGCGTCATATCAACAATATGACCTCTCAACACTGACCTCATTCACTTGGTCACATCGTGCCGAGACAATTTGAGTACACTCGTGTTGTGTACTTGAACACCAACACCAACACCAACACCAACATCAACACAAACACAAACACGAACATCTCCACTCACTTGCATGTGAACACGTGTTCTCACTGAAATCCAATGTATCATGAGACGAATGACGAACGAGTGGTTGACTGAACAAATGTATGCAGTGAGAGACGTGTTCCTTACAATCTGATGTGGTGTGATGCTGCGACACGTGTTGTGTGCATGCACAATTGGAAGAGGATGTCAGTTCAGTGTGTGTTTGTGTGAGTGTGTGTTTTTGTGTGAGTGTGTGTGATTTCGAGTGTTTTTCAAAATGTGAGTGTTCTTAAGATGACCAGTGGGATGGAAATGTGTGCACCTCCTGCATTTGCTCACACAATATTGACCACATGTTCAATGTGAACTGTTTGTTTGCATACACACATTAGGTATCGCATCGGATCACACAACCGAGTCATCATCCAGTTCGCAAAGCACTACGCACATTCCGTCCGAAGTGTCCAGTCAACCACCTGGATCCACAACATCATCTACTCCAACTGAACCACACACCAATTCATCAGTCGTCACTAGTGAGTTCAATCGATAATTTGTTGCATTCCATGATGTATTTGTGCTGTGATTTCACACTTGTGTAATTAATGCTCATCATTCATTGCACTTGTAGATTTGGTCTGTTGAGAATTAGTGTACAAGTGTGCATGCATTGTGCGTGATTGTCCGTGTGTGCAACATGCTTGATTTAGACTGTGAGAGAGATAGAGTGTGAATATTTTGACAATTTGTGGGTAGATTTTGGTTGGGTAGAGTGAGTGAGACAGTGGCAATCAGTCGGACGATATGCGTTGTGTATTCAAGTGTATTGGTCGGTGGTTGAACAGTGGTCGATCAAGTGAGATGTGGAGGTGTTAATGGTGAGTTCACCAGTCTGCGTCATATCAACAATATGACCTGTCAACACTGACCTCATTCACTTGGTCACATCGTGCCGAGACAATTTGAGTACACTCGTGTTGTGTACTTGAACACCAACACGAACACCAACACAAACACAAACACAAACACGAACATCTCCACTCACTTGCATGTGAACACGTGTTCTCACTGAAATCCAATGTATCATGAGACGAATGACGAACGAGTGGTTGACTGAACAAATGTATGCAGTGAGAGACGTGTTCCTTACAATCTGATGTGGTGTGATGCTGCGACACGTGTTGTGTGCATGCACAATTGGAAGAGGATGTCAGTTCAGTGTGTGTTTGTGTGAGTGTGTGTGATTTCGAGTGTTTTTCAAAATGTGAGTGTTCTTAAGATGACCAGTGGGATGGAAATGTGTGCACCTCCTGCATTTGCTCACACAATATTGACCACATGTTCAATGTGAACTGTTTGTTTGCATACACACATTAGGTATCGCATCGGATCACACAACCGAGTCATCATCCAGTTCGCAAAGCACTACGCACATTCCGTCCGAAGTGTCCAGTCAACCACCTGGATCCACAACATCATCTACTCCAACTGAACCACACACCAATTCATCAGTCGTCACTAGTGAGTTCAATCGATAATTTGTTGCATTCCATGATGTATTTGTGCTGTGATTTCACACTTGTGTAATTAATGCTCATCATTCATTGCACTTGTAGATTTGGTCTGTTGAGAATTAGTGTACAAGTGTGCATGCATTGTGCGTGATTGTCCGTGTGTGCAACATGCTTGATTTAGACTGTGAGAGAGATAGAGTGTGAATATTTTGACAATTTGTGGGTAGATTTTGGTTGGGTAGAGTGAGTGAGACAGTGGCAATCAGTCGGACGATATGCGTTGTGTATTCAAGTGTATTGGTCGGTGGTTGAACAGTGGTCGATCAAGTGAGATGTGGAGGTGTTAATGGTGAGTTCACCAGTCTGCGTCATATCAACAATATGACCTCTCAACACTGACCTCATTCACTTGGTCACATCGTGCCGAGACAATTTGAGTACACTCGTGTTGTGTACTTGAACACCAACACCAACACCAACACCAACACCAACACAAACACCAACACAAACACAAACACAAACACGAACATCTCCACTCACTTGCATGTGAACACGTGTTCTCACTGAAATCCAATGTATCATGAGACGAATGACGAACGAGTGGTTGACTGAACAAATGTATGCAGTGAGAGACGTGTTCCTTACAATCTGATGTGGTGTGATGTTGCGACACGTGTTGTGTGCATGCACAATTGGAAGAGGCTGTCAGTTCAGTGTGTGTTTGTGTGAGTGTGTGTTTTTGTGTGAGTGTGTGTGATTTCGAGTGTTTTTCAAAATGTGAGTGTTCTTAAGATGACCAGTGGGATGGAAATGTGTGCACCTCCTGCATTTGCTCACACAATATTGACCACATGTTCAATGTGAACTGTTTGTTTGCATACACACATTAGGTATCGCATCGGATCACACAACCGAGTCATCATCCAGTTCGCAAAGCACTACGCACATTCCGTCCGAAGTGTCCAGTCAACCACCTGGATCCACAACATCATCTACTCCAACTGAACCACACACCAATTCATCAGTCGTCACTAGTGAGTTCAATCGATAATTTGTTGCATTCCATGATGTATTTGTGCTGTGATTTCACACTTGTGTAATTAATGCTCATCATTCATTGCACTTGTAGATTTGGTCTGTTGAGAATTAGTGTACAAGTGTGCATGCATTGTGCGTGATTGTCCGTGTGTGCAACATGCTTGATTTAGACTGTGAGAGAGATAGAGTGTGAATATTTTGACAATTTGTGGGTAGATTTTGGTTGGGTAGAGTGAGTGAGACAGTGGCAATCAGTCGGACGATATGCGTTGTGTATTCAAGTGTATTGGTCGGTGGTTGAACAGTGGTCGATCAAGTGAGATGTGGAGGTGTTAATGGTGAGTTCACCAGTCTGCGTCATATCAACAATATGACCTGTCAACACTGACCTCATTCACTTGGTCACATCGTGCCGAGACAATTTGAGTACACTCGTGTTGTGTACTTGAACACCAACACGAACACCAACACAAACACAAACACAAACACGAACATCTCCACTCACTTGCATGTGAACACGTGTTCTCACTGAAATCCAATGTATCATGAGACGAATGACGAACGAGTGGTTGACTGAACAAATGTATGCAGTGAGAGACGTGTTCCTTACAATCTGATGTGGTGTGATGTTGCGACACGTGTTGTGTGCATGCACAATTGGAAGAGGATGTCAGTTCAGTGTGTGTTTGTGTGAGTGTGTGTTTTTGTGTGAGTGTGTGTGATTTCGAGTGTTTTTCAAAATGTGAGTGTTCTTAAGATGACCAGTGGGATGGAAATGTGTGCACCTCCTGCATTTGCTCACACAATATTGACCACATGTTCAATGTGAACTGTTTGTTTGCATACACACATTAGGTATCGCATCGGATCACACAACCGAGTCATCATCCAGTTCGCAAAGCACTACGCACATTCCGTCCGAAGTGTCCAGTCAACCACCTGGATCCACAACATCATCTACTCCAACTGAACCACACACCAATTCATCAGTCGTCACTAGTGAGTTCAATCGATAATTTGTTGCATTCCATGATGTATTTGTGCTGTGATTTCACACTTGTGTAATTAATGCTCATCATTCATTGCACTTGTAGATTTGGTCTGTTGAGAATTTGTGTACAAGTGTGCATGCATTGTGCGTGATTGTCCGTGTGTGCAACATGCTTGATTTAGACTGTGAGAGAGATAGAGTGTGAATATTTTGACAATTTGTGGGTAGATTTTGGTTGGGTAGAGTGAGTGAGACAGTGGCAATCAGTCGGACGATATGCGTTGTGTATTCAAGTGTATTGGTCGGTGGTTGAACAGTGGTCGATCAAGTGAGATGTGGAGGTGTTAATGGTGAGTTCACCAGTCTGCGTCATATCAACAATATGACCTGTCAACACTGACCTCATTCACTTGGTCACATCGTGCCGAGACAATTTGAGTACACTCGTGTTGTGTACTTGAACACCAACACGAACACCAACACAAACACAAACACAAACACAAACACGAACATCTCCACTCACTTGCATGTGAACACGTGTTCTCACTGAAATCCAATGTATCATGAGACGAATGACGAACGAGTGGTTGACTGAACAAATGTATGCAGTGAGAGACGTGTTCCTTACAATCTGATGTGGTGTGATGTTGCGACACGTGTTGTGTGCATGCACAATTGGAAGATGATATCAGTTCAGTGTGTGTTTGTGTTTTTTTTGTGTGTGTGATTTGGAGTGTTTTTCGAAATGTGAGTGTTCTTAAGATGACCAGTGGGATGGAAATGTGTGCACCTCCTGCATTTGCTCACACAATATTGACCACATGTTCAATGTGAACTGTTTGTTTGCATACACACATCAGGTATCGCATCGGATCACACAACCGAGTCATCATCCAGTTCGCAAAGCACTACGCACATTCCGTCCGAAGTGTCCAGTCAACCACCTGGATCCACAACATCATCTACTCCAACTGTACCACACACCGATTCATCAGTCGTCACTAGTGAGTTCAATCGATAATTTGTTGCATTCCATGATGTATTTGTGCTGTGATTTCACACTTGTGTAATTAATGCTCATCATTCATTGCACTTGTAGATTTGGTCTGTTGAGAATTAGTGTACAAGTGTGCATGCATTGTGCGTGATTGTCCGTGTGTGCAACATGCTTGATTTAGACTGTGAGAGAGATAGAGTGTGAATATTTTGACAATTTGTGGGTAGATTTTGGTTGGGTAGAGTGAGTGAGACAGTGGCAATCAGTCGGACGATATGCGTTGTGTATTCAAGTGTATTGGTCGGTGGTTGAACAGTGGTCGATCAAGTGAGATGTGGAGGTGTTAATGGTGAGTTCACCAGTCTGCGTCATATCAACAATATGACCTGTGAACACTGACCTCATTCACTTGGTCACATCGTGCCGAGACAATTTGAGTACACTCGTGTTGTGTACTTGAACAACAACACCAACACCAACACCAACACAAACACGAACATCTCCACTCACTTGCATGTGAACACGTGTTCTCACTGAAATCCAATGTATCATGAGACGAATTTCTAACGTATGATTGTTTGAATTATTTTGTGCTGTTTTTAATTTTTTCTTTGTGTATTTTTTTTATGGGTCATAATTTACGCATTTTTCGTCACTTTTTTATATTTATTTTCATTGTTTTAATGTTTTGTTCTTTTGGCTCAATCTTCTGTTTATTTGTTTGATTTACTTTTTATTTATCAATATTATCGTCTGACTTTCCCTGAAATTTTTTCGATGCATATATGTTTATTACATATGTGTGTGAATTTCAGTCTCACACGGAGACTTTAGGAATTATGTATTCGTTTGTGTCTAATGGTTTACTGTGTGTTACAATCAATGGGAGAACAGAAAGAAGATTAATGTGCACACTTGTACTCATTCACGCTAACCCATAAATTTACAAAGTGTATTAAATTTTGTAATTAAGGCGAGTAGACAAATTAGAAAATAGTTAATTGGGTATACTTAATAAGGTTCAGACGAGATCATTGATGTTTTTTATATAAAAATATATTTTGATAACATCTATGTTCGACAAAGAGATAAAAAATTTATGTTTAGTATAAATGTGCAACTCTATGTAATACGTAAGCCTTCAATTGAAATGACTTCTCATTTTCGTTGAAAATCCGTTGGGCTTATAAATAATAGTACAGAAAATTAACTTCTGTGTCATAAGAATATTCTTAGGATTTAGTTAAGATAAATATGGTGATTGCTATGTACCTATCTGACTAGTGTACTCTTCTTCCTGACTTTGTTATAGTTTCTGTTGCTACTGATCGTCGATGTGAAGTATTGCTTGTTGTCAGTAGTTTATGTGGTACTTGCTCTGCTTCAGAATACGACGATTTCAATGTTTTCTGTTTTTTGATGTACTCTGAAATCTCTGGTTTTACACTGTCATGCTTATCTGCTCTTTCTTCTATAACCTTCTAACCATTTTTTCAGATGATTTTAATAAAGAGATCGCAAGGCAAACCTGATGCATTACATCTGTGGTTTTATATATGCTGCAATATCTGTTGCATGGTCAAAGAATTCACCAGGCAAACGTAATGCCGTACCATTAACCAAATCAGCAGCACAACAACAGATGTTTTGTTTCATACTTACGCCTGTTACTCCTTGTGAAGTAGCATAGGCCGCTCACCAGCATTCTCCATCCAACCCTGTCCTGGGCAATCCTTTCCAGCTCCTTCCAGTTGTAATTCATCTTTATCATATCTGCTTCTATTATCCGAAGCAATTTGTTTTTTGGCCTTCCTCTTTTTTGCTTCCCTTCAGGATTCCAAGTTAGTGCTTGCCTCGTGATGCAGTTTGACGATTTGCGTAATGTATGTCCTATCCATTTCCATCGTCTTTTCCTATTTTCTTCTTCAGCTGGAAGTTGGTTTGTTCTCTCCCACAGAAGGCTATTGCTGATGGTATCCGGCCAATGGATGTTGAGTATCTTGCGTAGACAGCTATTTATAAATACTTGCACCTTCTTGATGGTGGTTGTTGCAGTTCTCCAAGTTTCAGCTCCATACAGTAGAACTGTCTTGACGTTGGTATTGAAGATTCTTACTTTGATATTGGTTGAAAGTTGTTTTGAGTTCCATATGTTCTTTAACTGTAGGAATGCTGTCCTTGCTTTGCCAATTCTTGCCTTTACATCTGCATCTGAGCCTCCTTGTTCATCGATGATGCTTCCCAGGCATGTGAAGGATTCCACATCTTCCAGAGTTTCGCCATCAAGAGTGATTGGATTGCTGCTATACGCCTTGAATTTGGGGACCTTTGGTTTTCCCTTTGTGTATGCTGAGGCCTACTGATGCAGAGACTGCTGCCGCACTGGCTGTCTTTGTCTGCATCCGTTCGTGTGTATGCGATAGGAGGGCTAGGTCATCTGCGAAGTCCAAATCGTCTAATTGATTTTGAGCTGTCCATTGAATTTCGTGTTTTCCTTCAGATGTCGAGATCTTCATAATCCAGTCGACCACAGGAAGAAAGAGGAAGGGAGAGAGTAAACAGCCTTGTCTGACTCCGGTCCTTACTTGGAATGCATCTTTCAGCTGTCCTCCATGCACGACTTTGCACCGTAGTCCATCGTATGAGTTCCGGATAATGCTGAAAATCTTCGCAGGAACTCCGTAGTGTCGAAGAGGTTTCCATAATGTCCTCCTATCTACACTGTTGAATTCTTTTTCATAATCAATGAGGTTGATGTATAGTGACGAGTTCCACTCAACTGATTGTTCGACGATGATCCGTAGTGTTGCAATTATGTTTATGCATGACCGATCCTTACGGAAACCAATTTGTTGATCTCGAAGTTGGGCGTCTACTGCATTTTTCATCCGGTTCAGCATCACTCTGTTGAAGACCCTCCCTGGTATTGACAGTAGTGTAATGCCTCTAATTTTCACATTTGCTCAGATCTCTTTTCTTTGGAATCTTGAAGAGGTTCCCTTCTTTCCAGTCCATCAGCACTTGATCCTCCTCCCAAATCTGTTTGAATAGAAGGTAAAGAATGTTTGTAGTTACTTCGATGTCTGACTTTAGTGTTTCATCTGGTATGTTGTTGGGTTTCGCTGCTTTCCCGTTTTTGATTTCTCCGACGGCCATTCTGATTTCTTCCTTCGTTGGTGGGTTGACGTATATGGCAAGATCTGTGTGTGCTGATTCGATGTCCGGTGGATTCATTGGAGCCGGCGTATCCAGGAGTTCCTCGAAGTATTCTACCCATCTGTTCCGTTGTTGCTGAATTTCAGTGATTGGCTTGCCTACTTTGCTTTTGACCGATCTCTCTGGTTAACTGTATTTCCCTGATAGTTTCTTCGTTGTACCGTAAAGTTGTCTCATATTTCCTTCTCTAGCAGCTTTTTCCGCCGTCGTTGCTAGTTCTTCCACGTATTTCTTCTTGTCGGCTCTAATGCTTTTCTTCACGTGCTTGTTTGTTTCTGTGTATTCAGCTTGTGCTTGGACTTTCACTGCTCGTGTTTGGCAGTTGTTAATTGTTGTCTTCTTGTTCTTCCTTTCTTTGATCTTGTTCAGATTTTCTATAGAGATCCACTCTTTATGGTGGTGTTTCTTAAGACTCAGAACCTCTTGACACGTTGAAGTTAATGTTTTTTTTTAATGCCTTTCCAGTTGTCTTCCATAATAGTTTCTTCTTCCTTCAGTAGATCTTGTAAGTCTTGGAACCTGTTGTTGAGAGCTATCTTGAATTCATTGAGTCTGTCAGTATCTCGAAGAAAGGCTGTATTGAACCTTTGTAGTGATGTTTGTCCACTTGTCCAGTTCTTTTTTGGCTTGAGTTTTAGATTGGCTACAACAAGATGGTGATCTGAAGCTATTTCAGCTCCTCTCCTGGTTCTCACATCTTACATTGTCCTTCGGAATGTTTTGTTGATGCAAATATGATCTATCTGATTCTCTGTAGTGTGGTCCGGTGAGATCCATGTAGCCTTGTGTATACGCTTGTGTGGAAATATTGTGCCTCCTATGACCAATTTGTTGAATGCACATAGATTTGCAAATCTTTCTCCATTTTCGTTTCTCTGTCCCAGTCCATGTCGTCCCATAATATCTTCATATCCGTTGTTGTTTATTCCAACTTTGGAATTTAGATCTCCCATTAGAATGATGAGGTCCTTTCTTGGGCATTTCTCTATGATTGACTGCAGCCGCTCATAGAATTGATCTTTAATGTCGTCGTTGCTATCATTGATGGGTGCATAACATTGGATAATATTCATTAAAATCCTTTCCTTCTTTGTTTTGAATGATGCTTTGATGATTCTCGATCCGTGAGATTCCCATCCTACAAGTGCATTTCGTGCTACTTTGGACAGCATTAGAGCGACTTCCTGAGTGTTTGAAGCGTTTTCCTCTTCGTGACCGGAGTACAGCAGCATCTCTCTCGTAGCTAGCCTTTTCTGTTCAGCTTGGGTCCAGTGGGTTTCGCTGATTCCCAGTATTGCCAAATTGTATCTCCTCATTTCCGTTGCTATTTGACTACTCTTCCCGGTCTCACACATTGTTCGGACGTTCCATGTACCTACAAAAAGTTTTGCTCTGGTTGTTAGAAGGAGCATCGGCCTCGTGGCTTCAGAAGGAACTCAGCTTTCACCATGAAGCGTCATAATTCTTCTAAATGAAGACCTTCTAACTCCCAGGTATTGAAAAGGTGATGATATTTAATCTCGATAACGCATCTGCTACGTCGTCTTCCGTGAATTTTATGTCAGCTGCAAATAGCGAAATGATTTATAGTCGACAAATTTTGCGCGGACTATATTTAGCACGATTGTGTATCAAGGACTTAGTAGGAGGTTTGTGACCAGTAAATGTTATAAAAGAATCGCTTTCTAACATATACCGTAAATGTTTGATGGCTAAATAAAGAACCAACAGTTTACTACCGAACGTGCTATATTTTGTTTGCGTTGAGGTTAGCTTTTTGAGAAAAATGCAAGACGTTGCCATTGTTG